TTCCGCGATCTCATCAAACTTCTCAGCGAGGGAGCAATTAGCAAAACCCAAGACGAAGGATCGTTCAAGAAGTTTAAAACGCCACATCTACCGAGCGGAGCTCCTACAGACTAGCAATTCAATCAGACGTTGAAAAACTGGCAAACGAACAAATTTTAGGATGAGCTGGATGCGTTGGTGGCCAGTGTTAGAGCGTGGATCGTCTCCGAGAATCGTGACTTTTTTATCCGTGGAATCACCGAGAGAAAAGCAAATGGGAAGCATTCTTGTGGGATGGTGACCACGCTCCGGGGTTATTATTTAAACATGTTTTTGTTGAATAATTTTGTCGTTTTCGCTGAATAAAATCTGTTGGAAAAAGCCGCAATAATTAATGCATCAACCCAATATATAATATTGGTGCCTTGAAGGAATCGAATATGGGTGATTGCTGTTTTCCATCACCCACATAAAACTGCCATTTGCGACCACTAGAGTGGTGTACTAATTTCTTGAATGAAAATTAAATTCCTGGAGCAAAAATAAGCCTTCGAAAACCACATTTTGTTACCAGATTGGGCGGCTGGGTGAAGAAAAAGGCGGCGCGTGCAAAGAGGTACGCCAAGGAGAGGCGACGCACAGTAGCGGTCAAAAGTTTGGAAACTTTTTTTTTTGATCTAGCGCGGCCGACACATAACGAAATTGTCCTCAAATTTAGATATTACATACAAAATCAAGTTCAGAATACGACGGGAAGAATAATTTCCAAAAATCTATAATCATATTTGAGAAATAAGATTTTTTCAAGTAATGGCGCGTCAAAAGTTTGGAAACTTTTTGTTTCCCTTCATCATTATGATTCCTACTCTTCAATGTTCACTTGTTTCTGTTGATTTTAGTTCAACCATTTCACCGTTTTCGCTGAATAAAACCAATGTTCACTTGTTTCTTGTAAGAAGAATGAACATTCACAAAGTATGCTCACGAGAAAATGGTCCTCTTCAAATTCGAAGGGTACTTTGCATATCCCGTACCCCGACATTTCCAACTAAGAGACGAGTTCGGGCGTTTTCCTGATCGTATGGAAGTCCATGTGCAGCCCAACATCGGTCCCGACCTGGTGAATATTACAGATGATGTCCCAACAAGAAAGCGGTGTTGGGCTTCAAGGAGCAGGATGGCTTAACCGGCTTCCGCACATAACGGCTAACATGGAGCTGAAGGCGAGATTCAAAACTTCGTTCTCAGGGACCAATGAGATTTCCGAGTTTCTAGAAATGCTGCAGTGGACCCTGTGAAGTGCTCTGCCAAGTGGAAACCTCATTTTGAGTATAAGATTCCAACAGGAAATAATGGAAGTATTTTCATGGATGACTGAAGATTTGTCCGAGCATCGGCAGTTTTCGCGTTCTATGTATCCGAGCAGAATTGGTTGGGCATAATCGTAACTAGCATGAACAGTCTCAGAACTGCAAGTGGCTTCCTTCGATATCAGATCTGGCCGGAGAAGAAATAGGTTCCAGTATTCGCGGAAATGAACCAATGGCCCTCCTCACACTCCCTCTACTGCGCCTCTCTCATCAACAAATGCACGTGGCCCACACAGACCCTCACCAAAGAGACCGCCGTTACTGAGTACGCGAGCCACAAGTCACCGATCTGGAGTTCTAGCTGAGTTTTATCATCCCAGATTTGTCCCTCAAAAACTGGTATTCACGCAAGCCGTCCACCCATCCACTCTCGTGAAAGAACTTCCCCTCTACCCCTCCCCACACATCAAGACACCCCCCTGCATCGCTCTAATCCCAACCCGCACTCCCATCGTGACCCCACTCCCCATCCCACGTACCGCAGTTACTGCCCCCCTTCCCTAACCTGCTCCCTCACCACTCAGACGCGTGGCGCTCCACTCCGGACACATCTCGCACTCTTCACACAATTATTTTTGACCACTACCTATTCTCTTATCTTCACTATCACAACGCTGAACATCCAGACTATCATGACTATATAAACTCAACTCACTCACTCTCGCATTCTCACTCAAATTCGACACTTTCCACTCACGCCGCGTCCGCGATACACTGCAATGACCGCAGCATTGGCAATCCCCCCCCGGCCGCAGGGGCACTCCATGCCCCCTCATACACACCTCACTCTCCCAGACCACGACACGCTCACGAGCACAGCCTCGATACACTTCCCCCACTCACCAGCTCCACACAACACTTCCTCACAACTCTTTGTCACACACACTGTGACACACCCACTCTCCACACGGCCCTCCACGGTTGCTCGTGCAAGCCCACCTCACTCACTATCTCGCCAGCAAGTTTCTCTCACTCACACACACTCTCTTTAAACTAAAAAAGCCCACTTCCAGAGTACGCCATTGCCACTCGAGACGGTGCGTTAAATGACTCAAAATGTACATGACTGCGCTCAACAACTCCTCCTCTCGTGTTCAAATGGAAATCATAGATCATTTTTCAGCAGGACAGTTAGCCTATTTGGTGAAATTTTCCAATGTTTGAGCGAAGGTTTTTCCGAAATCTGAGGGGTAGCGGGGAAAATTCCTTCACAGTTGTAGAGTACGCTTACTTGTGTGTAGAAATAAGATGACACGCTTGCTTGTAGACGAGCGCTTCCGCCGTGCTGTGGCTGTGAAACATGCCTCCTCGTCATGCCCTTGTGAAAAGATCAGATTTTTTTTTCATTTCCAGATGAGCTCGCAGAACTGAAATGTGCCCCGTTAGATTCCCCGTGAAAAATGCTATCCTGCCCTTACGTCCAAACGACTACTCTGCCCCTACCAGTTATACGAAAACTTTGGTTTTTCACCGTTTTCAGCCTTCCCCTATTGCCGATTGGGCACTCACTGTTCCACTGTTACTGCCCCGAAATCTCACAGTTTCATTTTTCGTCGAAACTTTGCCTATTGGGGTAATTCGATGCCCTGATTACGAATATGACCTATACCAATGGACCTGAAAAAGGTGACAAAAACCACACTTTTCGAGTTTCAACTGGGAGGAGTAATGCATATATCATTCGATAGCATTTTTCACGGGGAATCTAACGGGGCACATTTCAGTTCTGCGAGCTCATCTGGAAATGCAAAAAAATCTGATCTTTTCACAAGGGCATGACGAGGAGGCATGTTCACAGCCACAGCACGGCGGAAGCGCTCGTCTACAAGCAAGCGTATCATCTTCATTTCTACACAAGTAAGCGTGCTCTACAACTGTGAAGAAATTTCCCGCTACCCCTTCAGATTTCGGAAAAACCTTCGCTCAAACATTGGAAAATTTCACCAAATAGGCTAACTGTCCTGCTGAAAAATGATCTATGATTTCCATTTGAACACGAGAGGAGGAGTTGTTGAGCGCAGTCATGTACATTTTGAGTCATTTAACGCGCCGCTATGGAATAGGGACCATGAAATCTGAAAAAAAGCAATCGATCCTTTCACAATACAATGAACCATGTTGAATACGCGGCGCGCGGCGCGTTCTGGAGCAACTACTGAGACCCATCTCTCTGAAGAAAGATCATAATGCATAAAGCGGAGGCCTTTCCAATATGCGCCCACTTCAGATACATTCAGAGCAATTTTTTCTTCGAGCGCACCCAAGCTCGATTCAGTGCTCATCACTCCTTGGCGTAATCTGACCTAATGCTAGGGCCCTTTTTAATAAGTTTAAAAGCAACAATTCTGTATAGAAACCTCCGACCCAGCTTGACGAGCTGAGTTTCAACGCTTTTTTTTTGAGATTTTGAAAATCTCAAATTTTGAACCGAGTTATAACGAATTCACGAAATTAACGAGGATTCGCGTTATTCGCGTGAATTTTCGATTTCAAACGGCGAGTACTGTACTCATCAAATGACTGATTTATCATGGGATTGAGAGCTATTTTGCCGAATTCGCTTTGGAATTGAGAAGTTTCCAAACTTTTGACGCGCCATTTCTTATAAAAATTCGTATTTTTCAAATGCGATTTCAGTTTTCAAAAAATTATGTTACCCATCGTAATCTACACTTGATTCTGAATATAATATGTGAATTCGGGACAATTTCATTGTCTATGGCTACACTAGATCAAAATAAATTTCCAAGCTTTTGCCCGCTACTGTGTGTATTAGGCAACGCGTTGAAGGAATCGCATTGAAGCGTTTAAATTTGAAGACTAAAGACAAAACGCCGATGACATAGGATGCAGTAGAAGGAATCGACCAGAAAGATTTCCTGGTGGAAGCACTTTAGAATCGAATGGAAGCGTTCCCGTTGCCAATATTTGTAACAAATGTGTGATACGACGGGAATTTGAGGCGTGACATTCTCTTTAGTTATCTGAGTTCTAACGAAATCCGAGAGCTAGCGAGTTTTCTCGTTCTTCGTCCCATTCGTGGAGAATGGTTCTCGGGCTAACGATTTATGGGAGACATAGAATAGTGCTACTCCCATGACGATAGAAATCAAATCCGTTGCATCATCCCTGGGATCTTTTCAAAGCAAACTTTTCATTTCCGATCTCCACTTTTTCGATTTAGTTCTGATCCTCCTTTCTGATAGAAATGAAACTCCGTGACAATCCTTATTCCTTAACTTATCGGCCTACATCTACCCTGCGCATACTGAACTCTCTTTCTAAAATTCTCCATCGACAAAGAAAGGACAGGTGCATTCATCCAGAGCAGGTGGAAGTACAGCTTGCCAGAGAGCAAGGATCTAGAACTACCCAAGTGGCTAACAGGTATTCAAGCTTGCACAATTAAACTTTGAACGGTTGCGCTCCGAAGTACACAGCATGGTCTCTATGAAACCTGTGTTATGAGACATTCCTGGTCGCTTATCAGTGAAATTTCCTACATAGAGCGGGTACTGCTGTTACGTGCAACACAAGGGCACACCAAATGTATGAAGCGCGTTACTTCTACTTCTGTCACTGCACTGTGCAGGGTGTACTCTTTGTCCAAGTGTGGGTGCTTGCTCCCCAAATTTGAATGGACACACTTACCGATAAAAATCCCCGCTTCATATTTCGTATGACAAATTGCAATACTTTGGTCCACGTACGCCGCTGTGCCATCGGTTCTAGTAATGTTACATCTGTCGGACCAGAACACAGAGAATATAGACCTAATCGCAGACCGTGAACTGAAAGTTACACAGTGATCTTCTCAATACCTTCAATAGCAAGCTTTATCAATGAAATAAAGCACAAGTGCAGAAGGCATAAAGAATGTTGACCACCTCAAACATCTATTACTCCCTCTCAAAATTCTACGCACTTTTTATGTTTTTTAACTACAGGGTGATCAACAAGGACGGGCCTCTATGGGTTATGGGTGGGCCCCACGAATCACAAAAAAACCGCGTGGTCTCTTTTGTGTGCTCCGGTTGGCACTGATACTGGGGTGGTATGGTCGCGTCGCTCCTCTCTGCACTCGAATGATCTTCGGATAAATTCTAAGACGGCCAGACCCTCTGGGGAGGGGTGCCTGACTGAGAGATAATTGCACTCGTATGTCGGCTGCCCCAGCAAGTCAATACATGTGTAGACCCATTCACAAATGCAGCAATGAATCTGAATAAAAGTGACATATGGCGTATTCCAAATAGGATTGGTCGGAGGCGAATCCTGTTATCCTCCATTTCCGTGGTAACTCCCTCGAAGTTTGTCATACTTGCTCAGTTTAATTTGATTGATAGAACAAGCGTAAAGTAACCTTTGATAGGGTTAATATCCAGAATAACTGCGAGCAGGCTGTTCTTGACACATAGCCAATTTTCAGCCTGAAACCATACACGCATTCGATAGTGAAGAACGCCGAGATCGAAACTCATTTGGCGAATCTTCTCCGACGCGTCTGGCTCAGCCAAGCATTCCAGAGCCTGGAAACAAGGGTAGATGCTATGCCTCGATGATAATATGAGACTACTATTTGGTTGAGGAGAAGTGTTTGTTTTCTCATTTGTACGCAGCATAAGATATTAGCGGATAAAGTCAACAAATTGGAAGATGTCAGAGATCTTGTCAGATCCTTGCTGAGTAAGTTAAACGAATTAGCATAAATTGTATTTGAATAGAGAAGGAGAAGTGGATCCATCGTACAACCGCCGTAGGCCTGGATTTTGATGCTCTCTTCAAAGGGTTTTCAAAAATCGGACGTAGCCGGTGTTATAGCTATAAAATTCAAAAGATAAAACTAATTGTACAGAATTTCGAGGTCCTTCCACACAGAGTCATTCATTCTATCTTTCTTCGGAATGAATGACCGGCTTCTGTCATTGACTCTAGTTCCTCTACAGGGTAGGGCATAAATATGTATGTGACAAGAATGAACTTCAGAAAATGCATCTACTTGGGATTGAGCAGAGCTCATCTAGACCTTCAAGTTCGCCATTGTCTCTCGGATGCAGGTCGATCGGTTACGGAAGCCATGGGTGGCTGTAAATTTTCCCAAAAAGCGTATCCATCACGATTTGGTGAGGACCATGATAAAACTGGCCACAGATTCGACAGTGTTAGGGTGAATGGAGCGAGGAGTTCTGCACAGAAAATGGAATATAATCTATGAACATCAGAGAGCTACAAGCTCCGTAGGGTTAGGAAGAGCAGAGATAAAAATATCAAGGGCATGGGGAGGAGGCCCGAATAAACTATCAGGGCAGGAGCAACGCGAATCAAGTTTATTCCCAAGCTCAGCGATGAGTTGAATTGAACCTGAGTCACATAAATTTCTTCATCTCAGTAGGTTTTCATCTGTGTGGGGGTAAAATCTTAAGCCAAATGTTAGCCAAAATAGCATTCTGGAGTAGGCTTTTGTCAGCTTTATACTCATTGGATTCAATAACGAAGCTGTATACCGGCTTATGGACAGAATTTAGTGAAAGCCTGCTTCAGAGCATATTTGTACGAATTTGGGCTACAAAAAGGTTGTCCAGCCAAAACCTCCGATTTGAATGTGGCGGGTTATTCCATGTGGTCGATATTGAAGTTGAAGAAGTGTGCGAAACAACAAGTTTGATCGGGTCGTTCAGCTGCTCTTCAAAAGTATGAGATGACGTTTTGACGGATGTCATGCGGGCAAGGGTCAATGTTTGCAGAGTAAGTTTAAAAAAAATTGCCAAGTTCGTAACCAGCCATTCGGATAAGAAATGCTAGTAATTGTTTTCAAGGTTATGGTCCTAAGCTTCTTCTTCTCCCTGGCGTGAGTTCCGCAGTCGCAGGGTCTGCTAGTCTATGGTCTAACGCTGCTGCGCTTGATATCCTTTTCGACCTTTTTGGCTCAATCTGGGCACAACTGCTTTGTCAGAATATTTATGCCCCACCCTGTAGCTCGTTCAGAAGCAAAGTCAGAAAGACTTGCTTCCTAGAGAATTGGTTTAAGAATGTGGAACTGAACTGAATAGTAGGAGTGGGTTAACGACGTTCTCTACGGCTCTCAATATAACACTTAGAATCGTCGAGGCACTTCTGAGTGAATTTTCCCTTGTGCGTGTACTTTACTCTCGTCTATCTTTCACTTTTACTCTCTAAGTAAGAATTGAGCAAAGGTCCAAAATTTCTTTAAAACCTGGATAGCTGCGCCTATAGATTTTGATCAACTTATGTCAGACGGATCTTTTGTGTCGCTTCACAAGGGAGGACATCATCAGTACAGTACATTTTTAGATCGACTATTATTCCACTTGTCGCTTCGTGAATATGAATAGCAACGGTGCTGTCATTCCGGCAGTTGAAGGGCTTCGATTACAAGCAAACTTTTTTAGCTGTGAGCAAAATGAGCTGGGCGTTGTCGAGAGCTTGAAAGGCTACGGCAAGGTGGACCTTTTCTCTACGACTTGACCATGACTTTCTTTTACCATATGTCGTGAACCATTGGCATCATTTTGAGAAAGCTTTGAAAAAAATGCATTTTAAAGTTGATGGTGCCTCCGTAGTGTTTCTATTTTGCTAGTTACTATTCCATCGAGCATACTCAAGTAGTGCGCTTTGGTTCCAATTCTGTTATGCATTGTATGAACTCCATTATTGGGAGAGATTCAATCCCTCAGAACAAACTCTTGATGGAATATCAGTAGAAAAATGAGGTTGTCGAGAAAGACGTGGCCCACATTTCCCAAGGGTCTTTTTGCGATGAGGAGATAATGCAAAAATGCCTCTACGAAGAGCGCAGCGATCTTCGAGGACCCAATTTAATTCCAAGTGACCCTTCTCTGGCTGCTTAGTGGGAAAGTAGATGTTTCAGTACCTGGGGTGTTCGCAGACCGCCCTCGTACCGCTTGTACATATTATATTCGATCCCATCTAGGACTAATCGAAAAAAGTTGTTGAAACAATGCGCAATTTTGATTTGAGCTCACAATAGCGATTAGATCTGAAGCAGTAGTAAAGTGCCCCAGACTGGCAATAAATGTGGTGATTTCACCCATTGACGAGGAACAAGGAACGTGGAAACATGGACATGACCCTTCTTGAAACCGCCAGCCTCGCCACACTACCTGCAAAACTTGCGCCACTCTCGGACTTGAACCCTGGATGACAGGACTCAAAGCCGGTTTTTGCCAGTGCACCAGGGATCACTCGATCACAGCATCGGAAGAGGTCTTGACAAAAGGCAACGGATGTTGTTTGCAAATCTTAGACTCCAAGCGGTGTAGATCCAGCAACCTTGCCAGCGGCAGCGTGGAACGTTCCTATTGAGCCATTGGTAATTTGCCATAGTGGAAGTGGTGAGCCCCACGTTGCCTGCAAACCTTGCGTCACACACGGGTTCGAACTTTCGGTGCACCGTCCCATGAGCGGCATCGTTACCACTGCACTAAGGAGCCCTTCTTATTGGCGGTGAAAGGGTTGTAGAGGAAAATAGCCTACGAAGGTTGCAAACCTTTAGACTTATCGTAGTATTGATCCCGCGACTGATCCAACACCAACGTAGACCGCAGGCGCTACACCACTGACGAATGCAAGGTGCCTCCCTTTTCCTTTCCAACACCGTGCTTTGACCCACGCACCTGGCAGTTTGAAGTTGGCCAACTCCAAAAAGTTCTTCAGAGGCGCGTAACGGGCGTCACCTGCGTCTCTCCAAACACATTGTATTTCGCCCTCCGCGTCCCGTTTTCTGTCAGCGAGCCCTTCCTGCGCGTTTTACGGCTGCGCGTAACAAGGAACCCTGCCAGGGAGCTGCAGCTCACCTGGGAAGCTTTCTTCAGAGTTTCATAAATAGGTCTCCTAGGTGCCATAGAAGCGATTTCCACCATCATCGGAAAAACTTGCACCTCCACGTTACGTGCTCATTAAAACTGCCCGTTAACGTGCAAGTTTGGCTAGTTTGCTACCGTCCCTGATGCTAGTGTTATGGCAATCCACTCGCCACCAGTTCAGGCCGAGACCGAATCCGAATGCGTTATGCTTCCAATTCTTCGGAGATATTTTCTACCAGACCTGCTCAGAGAGACAAAATAATATCCTATGCAGCGAGCTTTCCCACGACTCATTCTCGGTTTAGGTCGAACCCTATTCCTATTCAAGTGCAACCATATTTTTTGGCAGATAAAGAATAGCTGGCGCATCTCCAAATTATGTACAATTGATACCAATGATAACAGTGATGAAATCCTTTCCCTACAGCCTGAAGTGAACTTATGAATGATTGTAAACCCTACCTTAGTGAAGAACCGCACAACTCCTTGTCCAACTTCTTTTGCCCTTTTGAGATCACGGTTGACAACATCAACAGTGAACTTCTTGACATCGATGTGGCCAGTATGACTCTCGAGTAACGACTTGAACAATGATCGTTTGTCGTTAAGAAGTCGAATTACCAGTTCAGCTCCAACATCAGTCGTCGCTATCGCCCTGCCAACAATTCTATCATATTTTGTATTCAAAAATGGGACTATTGGGTGTGATACCTGTGCCATGATGCTTGGAGGAAAACTGCTTCATCAGACGTCAGAGTGAGTGTGTCAGACTCGTCCTTCTCCACAGGACTATCTGCACGTCTTACTCGAGCTGGAGAAAGCGAAAGCTCTTTAAGGCGCATATTTAGCGGTGAACCCAAGTAAAATTCTTTTGATTCCATCTGAAAGAAAATCATTGAGTGGAAACGAATGCTTCACAAGGCGCTCAAAATACGTTCCAAAGCACGAAAAACTCATAAATCGCCTTCTTAAGTTCGGATTTTCTCACTTATATTATGGTCAGAAATCTTGTTAGCCTCCACCCCCCGGCAGTAGAATGGTGTGAAAAATAATTCATGGAGTTCATCCCGCCTGGGGCGAAAGTTTTGTTCACAACCCAGCATTCTTGTGAAACATTCGCAAGGCGAACTGCGGCCAAAAACAGCAGTTAACAAACAAAAACAAGTCAAAAATTCATGGAATAATGCGTGAATAATTTTAGTTCTGACAGCTCCTAGCACTTTGCAATTACTTTGCGAAACCAACGACCTAATCTGTAATCGAATTTTTGAAGCATACCGTCGGTCTGTCAGAAATTTTGCAGATCATGACTAGTCTAAATCATTCAAAAAAGGACCAATTACGAATTCTGGTTATTGCTGAGAAATCGTGTTACTTAACCAAAAATTGTTCGGTGTTCCCAAACCTTTTGGCTTTATATGGGATATAAAAACTCGAGAGCTCCTAAGACATTTTTTGCGAATGAATGATACTGTGGTTGTGTTGAGTCATCACTGTAACCGATAAGTTTACCATCTCGCAGGACTGCCGTTCTTGATTTCGGTGCTCGGAGAAAAAGTTCAGCTCTAAATAACGATGAAGCTTCCCCAAAAAAAACGCACGCTCCGCCAAACCACTGCAATCTATAAGTCAGGGAAATCCATTGATTTTTGCTTCATTTCATGCTAAAGAAATCACGGATGGGCCGAATGGATCGGAACGGAACAAATCGTTACAAACCAACATTTTAGGAGATATTATGAGCGGACGAGATTTGGCTGCTATCACGATCCACAGGTTCACTATATTTCATGAGCCGTGGGAAGCTCAAATCGTCAATAGTGCGGTGTCGAGGCTGTCACTGGTTATCGCTCAGAGTTACGCTCATCCATGACGCCTAGTTGATGCTGGGTGCTTCGGCTGCTGGGTTCCCCACGCGAAGGGACCGTGTGGAAAATACGCTTCAAAGGACGCTGCTGTCACCTCCAGGATAGCTAAAGCTACAAGCAGAGGCAAGCGGCGGACACCCTAAACCCGTTGACTACTGGTGGTACACATGTGTACCACTTCCGTAGTCAAAGGCACTACCACAGTTTTGGGACTTATTCAGATTGGAGTGCCCGCTTGATGGCGGAATTGTGCACATATAGAAATACCATTATTTTACTCTGATAACAAATCGCTCCAAGCCAAAACAAGCTTCATTTAAAGATTAATAATGCATATTGTACCGCACGTCATAGGTTAGTGGCGCAGTTCCCACAAAGTAATTTCAAGCCTCACACACACTTAGTAATTGAGCTAGTAATTTGGTGCCCTCCTACATTTGTATCAGGTGCAACATACGCCAACGAAGATGAAAGATGGGGCATTTTATCAGCCGAACCAGTCAGAGGACTACGCGGCGTTCCACGACAGTGTTGGAGATTCCAACCTCCAAGATTCTGACAGTTCCGATGGTGCGAAGTGAAATCAGAAGACTACTATGACGATGCAGATTTGGAGCAGTAGATGACGATGAAAACTCGTCATTCGAGGGGTGATGGTGTGATGACAAGAGGGGCCGCTACCGCGCGCATAGTCGCTGGATCAAAATCCCAGGTCAATCCAGCGTACGTCAGCCAAACTTCTATAGTTGTTGCAAGGAGTAATAGTTACTAAATGAAACACATCGGTTACTTAACATCAAAAAAGTCGTAGTTCAAGAGTTAGTATAAAATTGTTATTCCATGATGGTACGCTAACCTCAACAAGCCCGAGCCTCCAAATACCAATTCGAATCGGTGCATAGTGGCTGTTGGTTTTATTTACGATTATAGAACTCATAAGTAACAATAAAAATCCGGAGGGCGATGTTCTGCACCAGTAGAAAAATAGAGCTATCCATTGATGACATTAAAGAGTGATGTTAAAAAGATAGTTGGATCGAATTCTCTGTTTTATTTTCTTTCTTTTATCAGGAAACTGTATCAAATTTTGTGTTTCGCTAAGCTTTTTTAGTAGATATTCGGTGTTTCACTGTATTGTAAAAGGATCAGATCGCGTTCGAGACTGTGAATTCGTGCAGTATTCAAGTAAACAGACTTGTTGGCCTCATCACTGATCACTTATTGTGAGGAGATAACGACACAAGGCAAGGGTGAAGGTAGACGTTTACACAAGAAGGAGATGTGGAATAAGAACAAAGGAGGAGCACATAGGTTATTCGGACCCCGCACTGCACTACTCACAAAGCACTCTGCAAGAAAGTACGAAAATAAAATTTGCAAACGAAGACTGGAGCTTTTCTTGCTCCTATCAACCGTAGAGGCAGATGGGTAGTAAAGAAAAAAGGAAAAGAATCTGAGTGCTATGCTAAGGCAATGAGAGACTGAGCACGAAGAGAAAAGCATAAGGCGAGGGAGCGCAACAGAAGAGAGGGCGCCAAACAACAGCCTTCAACGAACAGGAATTATTGCAGCTGCTACAGCCAACTCTACAAGGCCTTAGCACCCTTGCCAAGCGATTTCCGCACAGAGTGGGATTGCTCTCTGGGAATCCATTATACGGACCTACGGGAGTCATGATTTACAATTCAAGATCGTTCACATGATTTCTGCTTGGACGTGTCTTTGAAGGAGGGCGTTTCATTCAATTGATTGATTAGCGCACTCAAAATAATAACATAATATAATTGTTACTGCCCTTATTACTATGGCATTTGGTATATACCAATATTAGGAGTTTGAACGAATTTTCACCGCTAAGGTTATAGGATGAATAATCATTTGCGTAATGATTACTG